CAATCTTGGCGCTCCCACGCCTGACATCATCACACCTGCGTCTTCACCACAACAAGGCCACATTAGTGAGATACATAGCAGCGGTGCTTACCTTTACCGTCTCGTCTTGCATGTCCATGACCTAGAAGTACTACTCCATTCCCCATAGGTAGTTGTCTACTTCCTTGGCCGCCCTAGTCCTCTTGAACTCCTTAGGCTTAGGGACATCTAATCTGGATTTGGACACTCTAGCAAACATGCCATTCCCAATGACAGTCTTGCAAGAAATGAGCTCACTGGCAAGCTCCTCCATCCACTAGCGCATGGCCTCCATGCCATCGCACAACGACGGAACTTGATACTTGAAGAGCAGGTCATGAATGATATGTTTGAAGAGCTGGAGGTTTTGAGGAGGGGTCTTCGCGAACAAGAGGACCAGGATAGGGCTATCACCCGCTGAGCCATCCGAATAAGGCAAAAGCCTATCTTTTAAAGGAAAGGAAGAGCAGAACCCTTAGCTCCTCGGGTAAGTAGGTAAGTCTTAGGTGTATTAGCAGTAGAACTACCCTTCCTTTGATGGGAATACTTTCTCACTCGGCCTAGGGCTAGCGACTACGGATACCTTAATTGAATCCTCTCCCAGAGCTTTGGAAGCGTAATCTTTCACTGCTTTGACTTTGTTCGTGGAGGCCTCCATGCCATCGTGCAAGGTCAGCACTTCAGCCTCCAAGGCCTCCTTTGGGTGAACACGTCCATACCTTTGTTGAGAGCAGTTTGCAGCTCACCTTAGATCTCTTCCCCCATTGAGTCTAGCGATGCAATATGAGTCTCCATTTCCTCAAACTTCTCCTCTATGTCGCCCATGGTCACCTCCACCTTGGCCAACCTACGTCCATGGTAGACCATATATCTCTTGAACTGACTTTTCTACCTCTTCCAGCCCCTGTTCTTGAGCCTCTGGTTGTTGGTTAGCAACATCGCTTTGGGATGCCATCTCCTCAATCACGATCTAACCTGTACAACACAAACACGTAGAATCGAACTTGCTCTGATACCACTTGTCATGGGTCAAGACTTAAGCTCCGAACCCACGCAGCTTCGGACTAGGACATCCACTCATCCGACATCCTGGATCAGCCTACCTGGCACAGTTCACACTCTTGTGAGATATTATCAGCTCTGGCCCTTCTGACCTCACGGTTTTATCCTACAAAATGCGCCTCACAAGGCAGAGGTGGTGTGAACCCTTTTATACCTCAGTGACCCTCTTATTATGTTCGATGTGAGATTCAAAACTCTTCCTTAAATCCGTGACATAGGCACTTGGCTTAAAACAACATCCTTTCTTTTTTGTCTTTCCTAGCTATGATCATCCTATCCCTTTTTCCTTTGAAATCCTTGATTTTATCTGAGGGAAGTGAATCAAATTTAGTCTATGTTTAAAACTAGGAAAATTTCCCTTCCAGAAAATGAATAAGTCGAAACATTTTTTTTTTTTTCATGTTGTTAAACTAGAGTAGTATGGTAGCATTTGCTTTGTTAGATAAGTTATGAAAAATTTACAAATCAATTTAAAAGGAAAGATTTTGGTTTTGGTCTGAACTTAGATGTGACTTGGACATCTTTAATTATTAAGTTAAAATATGTTACTAATATAATTATTAATCATTTCTCAAAAAAAGTATAATTATTAATCAGAATTTGACTGCAATTATGCCAATATTTTGGTGTAAAAAAGTAAACAGTGAGGGATATTTCTTTCCTCTAAAGTCTAAAAGAGTGGATATTAGCATATGACTTTCCTAAATTATAACAGATTCAATTATTTTCATTACAATATGCAAAGAGAATAAGAATATTGGTCTTTCTGTCCTTTTTCTTTTCAAATTAACGAACTCAATTTTGATAGTTATTTTTAAAAATATTATTTAATTAAAATTTTAAAATATTTAAAAATACATATTTTGAAAATTTTGAAACTCATTTTCGAATTTTACAAATCTTATATTTTATGATTTTATTAAAAATAATTGTCAAAATTGTATTTATTTGACCCAAAAAAAAAAAAAACAAATATGATGAAACAAAAGAGAACATAATATGTACGAACTTGAAAATAACTGTAATTACAACACATGCATATATATATATATATATATATATACATGTTCTGCTTTCATAATTTTCCATTAAAAATATAATATAATATATATTTCTCGTCAATTTAAAAGCAAATGCTAGTGGCAATTCTTTTTTTCACAAGCAATGTAAAGGGGAGAAGTAATTTCTAAACATACCAAACAGAAAAGTGAAGTCCCATTTATAAAAATTGTTTAATTCTCTCTGTTTCTTCTCTCTAATTAGATTTCCTCCTTTAAATTTTCCTTTGGAAATCAGATGGAGGTTGATCATTGATAGTTGCATCTTCCAACCAACAAGCTGGCTGCAAGAAAGAGCAAGATTTGAGCCTTTTTCGGAAAGATTTTGCTTCCACATTCCTAGGTTAATTTCCCTCTTTGGGAAACCTTGTTGAAGTCGAAAAAACAACTTTGCAAACTTTTTGGACTTCCATGCAAGTGTGTTTCTTCAACATAGCAATTTGCCACTTGCTGACCAACTCGCATGCCTGCATTGATCAATTCCATTCTTTTCAATATTTAACTCTGTACTGACCAGCTATATGGGAATTGGAGAAGAAAGCTTGAGCTTTTAAATTACTGCCCACTTGCATGGATATTAATTAAACCTTTTTTGGCCACCGATTTATACTTTGACGCATTTTGATAGATTGTCGAAGTTTATTATTGTACATTTTAAACACTTTAATCTTGAATTTCACTTTAAAATATTAATTAAGCATTAAACTTAAAATCCAATATTTAAGATATTATCACATCTTTATCATGCGTAAGTAGAGACAGAAACTTATCTCATGATAAATTTGAAAAGGTAAAAAGCAAGAATAACATACAATAATATATAATTAAACAGAACCTTGATTATGATACTATATTAATTAGCATCCAAAATAAAATTAATCAATTGATAATAGGTTGAGAGGTCCAATTTAAATATAAGATAACAAAAAATTATATATTTACCAAATGTAACATAACAATATTTTAGCATAAACTATAAAATCAATTAAGAATTAATGATAGATGAGATCATCAAAAGTGGTAATATCTAGCATACAAATTTTTTTTTAATTTCCTTTTATTATTACTACATGATTAGAAATGGCAACCAGTCAATCAGGGCGAGTTTTTGCTCATTTTGAACCTAACTCAACTTTATATTTATAAAATCCGAACTCAACTAGACCCAAAATTTTTTTTATTATTTTCATATCCAAATTCGACCCGATCCAATATTTACATAAACTGTATCCGACTCAAAATTAATAAAATATTATTTTTTAAAATATAAAATATTATTTTTTAAATATAATTATATAATTATATATAATTAAATAATTAATTAAAAAATAATTTTATATATTGGGTCAGGTCAGGTTGGGTTTGCCTAAAACCCAAACCCGACCCAACCCTGTTTTTTTTTCTTAATATTATCTAATCCGACCTAATCTAAAACCCGATTTAAAAAAAATACCAAATGAAATCGGATCGAGTCAAAACTCGTCGAAAATAAATTAAGCTACCAACCTTATACATGATGAAATTGAAGAGTATACAATCAGATATAAAACTTTGAATGTTCATATGCATATGCTCTCGATATTTTCAATAAAATAACTTAATAAAAAATTATTTTTTAAAAAAATACACCCTGTTCGTTCTCCTTGTAATAATCCAATCGGTTTTTCATGTGAAAAACCTTTTCTTTTAATTTCCTTTTACTATAAAAATATTTATGAAATTGAAAATTTGATCAAATGTACCTCCCCTGCTATAACTATGAAATAATATACTGTAAAAGCTTAGCAACTTGAGATTTGTCTTTCCAAATGTATAAAGTAAAGCTTGGTTAAAAAAAATTAATTAGACATGTGTAAACCCTAGAAGCTCAAATCTGTCAAAGAAATTGATACAGTTGTCAATACCGGAAAGAGTAGGGCAATTCTCTCTCCAACCAATCAGAAAAGTGCCAAGCATTGAAAATAAAAATAAAAAGATTGTACGGCTCTCATTTTGTTAACCCACGTGTCGATAATCTATACGTCACTTTGCCACTACTGCCACACCCGCCACCCACGAATCATGGGCCTACTGTGCAGTCCGAGGATACTTCTTCTCTAACTCTGTCGATTACCATATTACTCTACCCGCGTTTTCCTGTCCGCTAAATCTACCTATAATTCCTCGTTGATGTAAATGAAATACTATCAATTATTAGAATTTGATTTAAATAAAATTTAAATTTAAATTAATTATTATCAAATAAAATTTAAGTTATTAAAAAAATTAAATTCAAAAATTTTAATATATAATTTGAATAACTTATTAATTTAATTGAATTTTTATATTTTAATATATTTTATTATTATTTTATCTTTATATGTATTAAATCAAGCTAAATTCGAATATAAATAATTAAACTTAAAGTCAAGTATGATAATTAAATTTATTTTTATTTAAAAAATAAATTTAATTGAATAAATTTAAATAATTTAATTTTTTAAAATTAAAATTTAATCAAAATTAAATTAAATTTTATACATTAAAATATGAATTGAGTTTAAATTTAAATTTAAATTTCCCACCATATTAACTTAATTGAATTCAATTCAATAATATCTTTACTTAAGCATTTGTCTATCACGACTTTGATGCAGACGCGAATGATGCCATTTTAATGAAGCGAGTAGATTAAATATTTAGCCACTCTTGAGAGCCGATCCAAGGATCCACATGGTCAGTTCCACAATGAAACCACTAAGTGGTTTCTGGCTCCATGTTTTTTTGTCAGAAAAGAGGTTTTACACGAGTTAGAAAACCCCATCCAACTTTCCATTTAAAGCATAAGCAATTTTTCTTCATTTTTGTTTTCTCAAAACCTTTCTCTCAAAAAAAAAAACCCTTGCATCTCTCTCTGACTCTTCGTCTATCTTTCGGTTTCAGCTTACTCTCTCCATAATCAGCTTAAAACAAGTAACTTTTTGCCTTTAGAAAATCTCTTTGCAAATATATATATATATATATATCGTGTTTGTTTGTCTTGGGTTTTCTTTTTCGACATTGATTTGATGACTTTGTTGAGGTTTTTGTAGGGCTGAAATTGGGGCGATCTAGGAAAAGAGAAGCAAAAGGAAGAACCCTAAGATTGATCTTATAAGTATATAAAAGTAAGAAAGGAAATTATAAATAAAGAGAGATGGGAAGAGGAAAAATTGCGATCCGTCGGATAGACAATTCAACAAGCAGGCAAGTGACTTTCTCAAAGAGAAGGAATGGATTGTTGAAGAAGGCGAGGGAGTTATCCATCCTTTGTGATGCTGAAGTCGGTTTGATTATCTTTTCCAGCACCGGCAAGCTTTATGATTATGCCAGCTCTAGGTCAGATACTCTTCTCTTTTTCTTTTTCTTTTTTTTTTTTGGTTATTTGTTGCATTTGTTTTTTATTTATAAATAATTTCGTTATCTCTCCCTTTTATATCATATTATCTTTTTCTTTCACTATATATATACCAGTCGCTTAATTTTTTATTTTTTATTTTTGGTTTTCTGAGAAACCATGGCTCTTTACATTTATATAGAAATATTACTACTACTACTATAGGATAAAGTTTGGCTTTTCTTTCCCTTCTTTTTAAGGTTAACATAACTTAAGATAGAGTTTGCCATATTATATATATATGCAAGAAGTTGAAGATTTTCTCTAATTTTTTTATATTTGAGATTATTAGAATTTAATCTTTAATTATTGAAACTAATCAACGGATGACATAACTATCTACAAGATTTCCCTCCATTGTTGTTAAGATTCATGCGAATATTAAGTTTGAAAAGTTTATAAATATAGATAATGAAGAAGAAACTCAAAAACATTAAAGCTATTTCAAGTATATATTATTAGTTCAATTTCTTTTAATGGAGCAGTTCTAATTACAAGACAAACTTTCCCCTTTTCTTCTTTACGGATAATCTTTTAGTACTGTACAAATCTAAGTACAAGCTAACACTTAAAAGAATGGAAGATTAGTATCCTTAAAGCTACATTAATGTTTTTTATTCATCCATTAATTGGAGAAAACAGTATGAAGTATGAACGAAGATTGGAATCTTAATATATTGTCTATAAACTTGATATTACAATATTGTTTTTTCGTTTTCAGTAATGTCCCAATATAATGGATAGACAGCTTAAATGAGAAAACAAAGACAAACACCAAAGAAGTCAGAAACTCACAATACCAGACCTTTAAGAACAATTGTACAAAAGCTAGAGCAAAGCTCCAAAAGATATATATTTCTAATTTGATAATGCAATTAATGAGGAGTATCTTCAAATTTTGTTCGGGCTTAATCTGCACATTGAACAATCTTAAAGATGCATTTTGATATGTAAGATTTTATTTCCGATGTGCTTCCCACAAGAATTGATACCTAGTTGACAAAAAAGGAAATTCTTCCCTTTATCAACTAGACTAACTCTTGAGGGTAAAGCTCCAAAAATATAGTATAGGAATGAAGCTTACTATGTGTTCTTAACGGTATACTATACAATACATGTATTTTCGTACAAGAAAGATTTAATGATGAGCTTCGATGAAGGTTTCTCTTTCTTCATGTAAAAGATGATCAAGGGAATCCTAACTCTTGGAATATAGAAGGAATCCTTAATTTTCACAGAGGAATATATCAATTCTACTTGGAGAGAAAACAAAGAAAAATTGATAGTATTGGATTGTAATTTTTGGCTTAAATCATTTCATAATTAGCTTTGGAGGTTGATGCATGCTTTTCTTCATTATTTAGGATCGATCAAGTTGGTTGTGCCTTGGATAATGCTAAAGAAGTTGTTGATATCTTGGTTAGAGAAGTTGAGCCTTAAGAGAATATTTAAAGAGAACGATACTTGTATATCTTATTTGGAGGATATAAAGTTTTGAATTCCATAAAGTTTGCAGCTTGAGTAGGAACTGCGAACATCTAAAGAATTGTGGAACATTCTTTTGAGAAAAGAAAAGGAAAATTTTGTGGAAAACCCTGTCAATGTGGGTCCAATGCCGAGACAGCGGAGTGAATGCTAGCCGAAAGAATTGTATTCTTAGAATCACTTTTTATTAAACTTAGAGTTTAACTTAGTTAAATCATATAATTATTTATGAGAGGTGATATTTGATAGGTTGATTTAGAGTTCGAATTCTAGTGCCTGCAACTCTTTCTCCTATTCTTAAACTATGATTCTTTTTTTTTATAAAAAAATCACTTTCTATTATAACAAGATGAGAGCAAGTTAAGCAGAAGAGGAAAAGAAAGAAAGATCCTCCTTGATTGCCATGAATTCAGCATAATTAGAATCCTCCAAACCAATTGATTTGGAAAAAAAAAAAAAAAAAAAAAACCTTTGATTATTCCATCATGGTCATGCAAAACACCTCCAAAAACAGCAACACCTGGTTCTGAAAATTTTCCCCACCCCCGCCCAAGTTGTTAGCTTAATTGAAAAGTTATCCCAAAATTTTGAGACAACTAGCTAGACATTTTTATTTGAAGCAATAAGTAATTTAAATGAAGCTTTACTTGGTTATTACTCATTACTTTTGCAGTTTTGCTACTCAATATTTACTTTTTTAATCCTTAAAACAAAAACAAATAGTAAAAAATAACCATTTGATTAAAGATGAATAAATGGCTAAAATGTAATACCAAATGAAACAAAATGGCTTCAAATAGAAGTAAAAATATGCATCTGTAATCCCATAAATAAAATTGTTAGTATATATTAATCCTTCCAAAACATATTTTCCTTCATGGTAATCCATAAATGAGAAACTTTTAGGCATATAGTTCTTCAAAAACATATTTGCTTTTATATACAAAAGAATTATGTATTTTTTACTTAAAAATTAAACTAACCAAATGGATCTGATTGAATTGTAAATGACCATAAGTACTGATTTGCACTAAATTGATCAACTTTCAGGAATTCATCTTTTTCAAATAAGAATTATGGTGGTTGTATGATGGAATTTGAGGATAAGGTGTATGTTTTTGTATGTGCATGCGTAAGCAACGAGAACAAACTATATGTTGATTGATATGTAGTTATCACCTTAAAATCTATAGAGTAATAATAATAATCTATATTTGGTGTTTAGATCACTATTTTGGAAAGAATTAAATAATCTAATTATGCAACCATATTATATCATTTAACTCGAAAAATAATCATATTACTATCTTTTCTTAAGAGTGATTCAAGTCCCATGTGAAAATGTTAAAATATATATTTTCAAAGGTAAATTTTGCATACATCTTATGTGGTATTCGATTTTCTTATTTATACACCCCGTGAATTTTTTTTTTCACTTATCGTTATTATTATCAAAGGGTAAATTTGATAATTTATATATTTATATCATGTAAAATATTAAAATTTATATATTTAACATGAAAATTACGTATCACAATTCATATCGACATAACAATATAAAATATATAATTTTGATTTTATTTATCAACACGAAAATATGAAATATATATTTTTGGTTTTATTAAATTTATATATAGTAATTGCTAAAATTTTAAATCATATTATCTTCGATTTTATTTTTATATTATATTCATATCATGTTATGATATTATATTTTAAATTATCAAGTCTAACAAAAGAAGGTAAATGTGTTAAAAATGAACCATATTTTATAAAATACCCCCAGCCCTTTAGTCATTGATACAAACTTAAATTGAAAACAGTTTTTTCCTAAACGCAATTTTCTATACACGCCATAATAATTAAAGATTTTGATTTGGCTTTCTTTTGAAAATTTTCGAGTTCAAAAATTGGGTGAACAAAAAACATTAAAAAAAAAAAAAGCCTCAACAGGAAAGGGTTAAAGGATTCTTGGGATTTTTCTTGGGTGTTCAAGATAGGTGAACAGGTGTAAAGTACAGTGAAGAGTAAAGAACAATTCAGAGGCAATCCTTAGCAAACAACGAGGGATTCAGCAAATAAAAAATTCCACAACACAGAAAAACCCTAGCAAGAATCAACATAGAGGAATTTAAAAAGAAATGGGGGAAAAAAATCGAATCAAACATAATCAAGACCTAATTCCAAGCAAATAGAGGAAGGTAATTCATCAGCAAATCCCAAAGACCTAAATACTTTGCAAAAATAAAGAAACGCAATTATCAAAAGCCACAAAAGAAGCGAGAAACCCAAAAAAGAAAAACACTAGCAAAGCACAGACAATCAAACATTAATACACAAAAATAATTCATCTAAATATAACAGTAAATTTTGCTTTGGACTCACATTTAGCCCTAAAGATGAAACTGAGAAACTATGAAACCACTGAAAATTATATCTATTAAAAAATTGGTGAGTATGCTATAGGGGGAAATGAGAAAGTGTCAATTGAGGAAATGAAAGGAGTTAAAGAATCTGAAGAAGAATTGGTGATAAATTGATGGAACTTGAGAATAGGAAATGAAAAACGTAGGAGGGTTTGGGGAGTGGAATAAAGAGAAGGAAGTGATTTTGGGGAAAAAGAAAAGAGAAGAGTATAAAAGAAAAATAGTAATGAGGATTGGGAAAGAGTCTGAGATTGAGATTTTTTCTGCAGAGATAATAGATCTCCATTTATTGGAGCAATGACACTAATTTCAGAGTTTTAGAAATGGTTTTATTACCAATCGGATTCAGGATTTAGCGTTTGGTTGGTGTTATTGCTGTTTCAAGTGAGAGAGATTAGAGAAAAGACACAGAATTTCGGCTTATAGAAAGCACAAGGTAAATCTCTATAAATGAATGAAGCGTTGAGGGTATTTTTTGATATTCATAGTCAAGTTCATTTTGAACAGTAAGCTTCTAAATATACCCTAAATTTTTTTTTTAAAAATGCCACATAGTAAATACCAGTTTTAACTTTTAGCAAATGATAAAAATATTTTCAATAACTTAAATATCCTAAAAGCATCTTCGTAAATCTCAAAAATAAATTTTTGAAAATTATATTGTGTTCTTAAAAATAAATTTTCGAAAATCATATTATATTTTCAAAAATTCATTTCAAAAACTATATAAATTTTTATTTAAATATATATTTAATTATAAATTTTTGATAACGTTTAATTTTAATTTAAATAAAATAAATACATTTAATCTTAAAATAAATAAATTTGATTTGCTAGGATTTCTAAACATCTCTCATCATTTCTTTGAAGTACGATTTAATTTCGGCAATAGGAACATCTAATCTTAAGGCCACCAATATTTTAGTAGTAAAAAAATATTGGTGGCCGAAATATTATAGGTCCTTATTACCAAATTTGTTATTCTGTTGATAACATCATCAAGGTTAATATTTTATAGGATGTTCAAGCTCAGATTAACATGCATACATACACATGAGTCATCAATATGCCCATTCTTCTTTGATCATATGTATGAATGAAAAAAAAATGTTAGTTTTCAAATACGCATGGGCATAAAGGTATTCTTGTATTGAGACTAGAAAACCAAGAACACCCTTTTGCCCATGCAAAACCAAAAAATTGTTTTTTTAGTTTTTCAGAACCTAAAAAAAAAAAGAACAAGTTTTTCATGCATGCTAGAGAACATCGATTTCAGTTCCATTCACATATATGATCAAATAAATAAATTCATAAATGTATAATTACGGTTTTTAATTATTAAAAATAATATTGAGTTTCTCAAAAGTAGATATTCAAGAAGTTTTGAGTTTTTTTAAAAAATAGATATCCAAGATTCAAGGCTTTTCAAAAATAGATATCTAAGAAACTTTGAGACTTTTCGAAAATTAATATCCAAGAAGCCAAACTTAATTTCAGATAATAAAAAAAAGAAGAAGAGAGAGAGTAGGAACAGAAAATAAAAAAAATGAAGAATGAGGTGTATTTAATAAAAATAAGAAATTGAGTTTTGAATTTAAAGTATATTTAGAAGTGATGTATATAAAATAATAAATAGAGTATAAATAAAATTTCACTTTTTGTAAACCATAATATTATAAATGAAAAAAAAATGTTTCAAAAGAGATGCAAATGAAAATGTCGAATACCCCATGAAGTGTATATGAAATTTACTCTATTTTGAATGAAGCGTAAGTGATTGTAAAAGTGATTCCACATAATTTTATAACCTTTTAACATTTTCCCAAGAAGTCTACTAATATATATATATATATATATATATATATATATATATATTATAGTTTTGAGATTTGATTTTTGCCATTCGTAGGGATATAAGCACTCTAACAATTTCTTGTGTATAAAAAAAAAAAAAGAAAAAATGGAAATTAGTGGACTTCTTGTGAAAATGTGAAAAGGTTATAAAATTATGTGGAATCACTTTTACAATCACTTACACTTCATTGAAAATATTGTGCCTATATCCCTATGAATGGCAAAAATCAAATCTCAAAACTAATATATATATATATATATATATATATTGCAATTTTGTTTTTCCAAATTAGGTTCTGATTATTATTTTTCCAACTTTTCATTAATTATTATTTGTTTTGAAATAAAAAAAAAATCACCAAATACTCCAAGTATACTGAAAGTAAATAGCTCTAAATTATGACATAATTTAAGTTGTTAGATTCATATATATATATATATATATTATGTTATCTTCTTCGAATTATAAATATATTCACAAATTATAGTAAAATTAGAAACTGCCATGTCTCAATTAGAATAATGGTGTTGACTTTTTCTTTTGTTTAATTTTTATCAGCATGAAACGTGTTATCGAACGCTACAACAAGCTAAAAGAAGAACATCATCAACTATTGAATCCTGCTTCAGAAGTCAAGGTAATTGTCCATCATCTAATCCTGCACGTGCCTATATTCAATTCATCATCTTTTTTTTTTTTTGTTTTATTTTTCCCTTTTGGTTGCTTTCACTTCGCCATGCCTTTAATTTGTCAAAAACATCTTCAATATGATGGCCTAAAGGTTTTGAGATTTTAGCTTGTTTCGATTAATGGTCACTTTTCTTAGCGGTCTAGTTTAGGACACAGAAAGCAAACCAGGCATGAAATGAGATTTTTTATTATGGTTTTGAGCGTAACCGGCCAAGTAGCTAATCACTGTCTTGGTAAAAGGTCCAATAAACATCAGTGATCCCCCCAAAGATATGTTCTTAATCTTAGTGGCAATACGTGCGGTTGATCAATGAAGATCATCATCTACATACTGCTTTCAGCACAATTCCAGAAGACCTTCTAATTGTAACCATTATGACTTCCTGCTTCTAAGGCATGCTCCTCACTCTAGGTGAGATCTCAACTTTCTTAGCAGAGAGTATTAGAGGGCTTTGGAATATCATTACGGCCCTCATTCGATAAACCGTAGAGAAAGAATCACATCCTTGATGGTGGGAAGTTGGTTAAAACACGCGATATATGTAGGATAACTTATCAAAATTGAACACATCTTTTAGATGAACCACAGAGATTGATAAGGGTAGTTAACTGAGTTAAGCCCATGCTTACCAAGTTTTGCAGCAAGACATAGGGCTCCTGTTACTCCTTCTGGAACATTAAGTATTGTTTCTAGCATGCGCACCCATAGATATACCGTGAACGGAGCAGTGAAGTGCGTGTATCCAAGCCAGTCATAGTGCTAAGGAAAGTCTACTTCCTAAGCAAGCCATATGAAATACAGGATAAATGATGCCACAAAAATATCTCATACTTTAGCTACATCAAAAACATCAGCTTCAGCAAGGAACTTCTAGCACTTCTAAACCAAGAAAAGAGAAAAACTTCAATGTATTGAAAAATGAAAAGCATCCAAGTGTACGAGTATATCCCATTAAGTAAAACCTTCAACATTGAGAACCATCCAAGTATTCCTTCAGTCACAAGATAGTTTGAAGATCTTAGAAATCATAACAAAATTTAAAAAATACTTAACCCTACAACCCCTCTCAGAGTCTCCATGATAGTATATCAGTGGTGCCTCAAGTTGACTATGACAATGAATTCCTGCAGCATCACTCATGATTTTCTATCAAATAGAGGGTTTAGCGGCAACCACTTGATGATATTTCAGCATCGATTATACTAATTGCAGACAATCATACGTGAATTTCCCAGACAGCTGTTGAACACTGATATTTGAAGTCGAAAGGCAAAAACTACAGCAACCACCAACTGTTTGCCACATTATTTGGAAGGTTTGTCAGATGTTGAGCATTTTTATCAGACTATCCTGATGCGTTAGCTGAGTACAGGATCTTCTAGAAAATCATACTGACTGTTTAAATTGCAGATACAGAGTCCTTTGCTTTGCCCGACTGAGATCTTTAACGGTTAAATAATACTCTCTGAAGTGGCATTACAAGTCAAAAATCATAACCTCCCTTTAGAGTACCCAAAGTCACTTACAATTGTTTTTCAACGGCGTCTGCAGGTTCTGTTCAATAGACTCCAATGCCACTACTTCTAGCCAACTACTGTCTTTCCTACTTGTAAGCTGCCACCTTCTGCTCTAAATCTAAAGCAACAATCCCATCATATATTCAGAAAAATCCACTATTTGTTACCTCAAGTAGATCAGGACACTCCTCCACGGGCAATCATTATGTTCCCTAGCTTCTTTTTACTAGATCAAGTATCTCTTTTTTAGTCTAAAGTCGAATTCATGAGGGCATAAACAACTGCACAGCATGACACTTGCTTGTCCGATCAACGAGTCTAGAATAGATAGTGCAGTCAACAACAAAGTCTTAATAAATTTCTTCTAGCTGAAGAGCAAGTGCTATCAATGTTGCAAAAGAAAAATAGTATTCACCAGTACACTTTGGGTGGTGAGAGGGAAAATAAGTCCACATCAATACCTAGTATTGATTTCTGACCCACTTACTCGTGAGTGAATTAATGTCCTGACCTCAAGCATAAATGTTTATAAATGTCAATATTCACATTCAAGTAGAAATAAAAGAGAAAACTTATTGCTCATGAGGTTCAAATAGCAGACAAATGAGAAAGAAGAGGTATCCATAATCAACAAGCAAATGTCAAAAATGCCAATATAGCACTTGGACTTACCAATAGTATGAAAACTCTGAAAATTAAACACCAATTTCATAATCATAAAACATTAATAAGTTGCAAGAAATATATAGGCTGATCATACATCTGTATCTCCAAAATATTATGAAAGGAACATTTTTCTCCTCTCCCTTAGCATGCATGAAGTTTGACCACAGTATAAAGAATAAAAATTAGAAGGCGGTAAGAGTGACTCCAACAACTTACAAGGGCAAATCACTTTTTAACATACCCAGAAATAAGTTTTCCCAAAAGAACATAAGAAGATGCCTGCAATAAGCTGTCCGTAACCATTTCTTGCTCTCAGCAAATCCAAGTCCCTTTCAGCCCTTCCCTTCTTTCCCAGACATAAACATTATGAAATTAAAAATTTACATTAATTTTCCTTTCAAACAAAATCTACATTATATTTCAATAACCAATCTATTGGCCAGCACTTCCAACAACCTTTATAACCTCTTCTTTTACTAAACAAATAAACGGCAAAACATATTACCAATAATGACAAATCTTACATGGGCATGGCATAGGGGGCCCTTACCTACTAAGAAATCAATGCTAGGGAAGACATGAATGGAAAAACTTACCAACAATGTTCCTTTCTTTAGGGGGCTCACTGCATGGATAAGAGCACTCCCTCATAGGGGCGAAGCAATAGCCTAATCCCAACCTCACAAGGACACAGTGTTAACACACCTATGGCTTAGTGATGAATACAAGTCCTTTACCCTCTATTCTCTAACAACCACAACCTTAGCTGAGAAGATTAGCGACAAGCACTTTGTGAAATTTCAGCAACAATTATACTAATGATAGACAATCATACTATTGGTACGCCCAAGAAAGCAATGAATTAAGAGATCTTAAATATCTGCTTTAAATTCCAAGAAAGCACAAGATAAAAACAAGAGGTAACATGAGACCTAAGAGACAACATTAGGACAACACAGCTACATAGCAAATTCTATATAGAAATTTGTAAAATATAATGTTGGCACAACAAAAACAAATATAATCTAGCACAAAGCAATTTAGTTTAGAAGAAGGAAAAACGAAGAAAAGGGTTGTAATGAAAAGACAGAGGAGATTTTATTTTCCTTCATTGGGAAATACTAAGAAAGGAAAATAATGAGTGATTTGCACCTTTCCATTCTCTCAAAATCCAATCCTTGCACAACTGGGACGAAACCATTCATTCAACCAAAAATCATAATTTCATTCACAATTTTACCCTTAACTCTTTTTTCCTTCCGTTTCTATCTCCTCTAACAAACAAGGGGAAGGAAAAAAAAAAGAAAACAAACTGCTTTTCTTTCCTTTGCAACCCTCTTCCATTCCTCAATTTTCTCCTTTTCCCTCCATCTCCTTCCTGTCAAACACAGCATTAGAGAGAAATAACAGTTTATAATCCTTGACTATTTAAGAAGTTTTAAAAGTGTCCACATTGTCTAAGCATCAAATTAAGTCAATGCTCAACTAATTCAGCTTTATTATCATCAAAGAAGAATAGCTCAAACTTGAAAGCAAGCCTTCTAACAAAGTATGTGAAAAATCAAATGCTAGATTAAGCTTGCAAGCAGCTTCAGTCAGAGTATTAGGCCACTTGGATTCACTCCAGTTACTTATTTTACTTGAACTCAACAAAAAAATGAGTTGTGTCTGAGTAACTAAGTCGAGTCCAAGAAACTCACAAGTAGTTGATGTTGTATTGTCATTGAAAACAGGCTAATCTCCCAACTTCTTTGGCATGTTCTTCAATTTTTACATCTCTTATCATAATAGTTTACAATAAAATGCTTCACATTCAAGAATACCACTTTGTACTTGATAGTTTTGGCAAAAGGAGGCAGCAAGCTTGAGGCAGCAACTCCAACACTTGCAGGAATGCCACAGGTACTCAAAAACACTCTTAAAAATCTTTGAACTTGTAAATTTAATGCAAATGTTAGCAACATTTGTAGACTTTACAGTACTCTTATCTTTGTAAATTTGCTAGGAAGGCATAAATCATGGTCTTACTTCAAATTTTTTGGTAGTAACAAATGCATTAACTACATTGTTTCAGAACTACTAGCTTCTCCTAATAAAGTTTCAATGTATAATTCCGCTTACCTTTCTTTAAAGGTACAAGTACAGGGATGAAACAAGTCAATGCCAAAACAGCACTCTTTAAAGTATACCATGGCATGCACCTCATAACTTTAGTTTCAACACTAGTAAAAGGATAAACCAAGCCTTGTCAAGATCATATCCTCAGTAAGCTTAGAAAAAGTGAGGTCCTTTTCAGATTTGACCAAAGATTATGTCCCCCTGTTCCATTGTACATAATAATATATGTTTTGAATTATGTTTTCAACTAGCAAAATGAGCTTGTCAACAACCAATTCCAAAAATTATTAAAAGTATAGTCCTAAACAAATATATAAAAATCACCACATTTTGCGCAACTGTAACATTTTCTTCATGATTGTAAACGTCATATGTAAAACTCAAGCATCTTCTCTACTTGTTTCTAACCACTAGGCTCAGACTTTGGGGTGAACATGCATAAGAATTGTCTTATTTAGTCAACATCACTTAATGGAAAAGTCAAAGTCGATTGATTGTGGAGTTGGATAATCCCAAAACTATCGGCCATCTTCATTAATTGTTTGTCACTGTATCTAATAATCTGTTGCAGCAATATTGCCAATTTTGCAATCCTATAATACAGATCTCATGTATAATTTTATAACCAAACCATTAAAACAAGGAATTTTCTAGCATAAAACACAAAATCAACAGCAACTCTTACTATGGGGGTTTCACAAAGTGCTAAGTTTCTACTATATGACATGCATAACATGATATTAAAAATGGTAAAGATCGCTTTAAACACTCTTATTAACAAAGTTCCTAATAGGACACTCTTGATAGTTGATAAAAACCTTTAAAACATGATATAATGGGCTTTTCCTTACCATGAGATAAACAATAGCTTTACATAACTTTCCACTGTGATGTGTTGCAGGCAATTGATGGGAGAAGAACTATCAGGTTTAAGTGTCAGAGATCTCCAGAACCTGGAAAACCAACTTGAAATGAGTTTGAAAGGTGTCCGCATCAAGAAGGTATGACAACTTTAGAATTTAATGATATTTTCACCGACAACATTCAAGATCAGAATATTTAATGCAATTGTTCCTTGTTATTATTTCCTTGTAGGACCAAATTCTAACAGACAAAATCAAAGAGCTAAACCACAAGGTTTCTTTTAAAGTTTTGCCGCATTTTTTGCAGATTTTCATCCATAGATATATTCTTGTTGAGTGACTTTCATTTATTGAATTGCAGGGGCACCTCATACATCAGGAGAATCTAGAACTGTATAAAAAGATAGACATCATCCACCAAGAAAATACTGAGCTTCAAAAGAAGGTATTGTAAGAGACAATTTATTATATTTGCTACAAATATCTCACATTAACCTATGACACTATAACTCGTACTTCCTTTATAACTCTTTTCCTTGGTTCTCATGAAAGTAGTACCATCAAAGTTTGAAACCAATACCACAAGGCCATAAGGGCCTGTGAAATAATCTTGAATTTAAGCAAATGAATGATTTTCCTCCCAATACTCCTAAACCACATAAAATTTTGGCCTCAGGTTTATGGAACACGAGAAGCAATTGAATCTAGCAGAAGCTCCTACTCAAATTGTACTTTCAATGATGGATATGATTTGCATGCACCTGTTCATCTCCAGTTAAGCCATCCCCAACCTCCTAAGACTGATACACTGGCAAAATCAATGAAGTTGGGGTAATTTATCCACTCAATACTGTTTTAAGAACTACAGCCTAGAGAAATCAAGTAAGAAAGCAAATTATTTCAATATTGATCCTAAAAATAACTCTCAAATTTGCAACAGATTACAACTGCATTAGCAAACTTGTCTGACAACTGTGGATGAACATCACCAACACCATATCAACAACTTGCTCATGGTTAAAGCCTAAAGCTACTACCAGTGAGCTTTCATATTCCAGCTACTAGATAAAGTATGTTCAGCATAAAGAAAAGGATTTCATATGAAACATTTAATGAAACAAACTTTACAATTTCAGTAAAATGAACAGAGAAACAAGTTATCTGATGTAAATTTACACAATAATTAGACTGCACTGTTTGTCTGATGTTACTCAGCTGCCTTGTGAACTTATTGTGTTCTTATTGTGTTCAACTGCAATTGTACTACTTGTGTGTTATCCAATAAAAAAAATTCTTAGATTTGTTTTACTTTCTTCTGATGGCTCCCCATCCTTGATGAAAAGAAAAAACTTAAAACAGAAAAAAAGTAGGGGGGGGGGGACAAGGGGAATCAAATGAACTGATAATTTAATATGCATAATTAATAGGGCACTAATAGGATAACAAGCAATTTGATTTCACAATGAGAAATGACTTGCTTGATTCATAATACTAAAAAGATGATTTAGTAACTGATCTAGGCAGGCCAAAAATTTTCTAAGCACAATACCTTTCAGGTATAGTCACCATTTCAGCAGGGAACTCCTTATCACTCGGTACCTGTGCTTTTATCAATTCTCTGAGTATATAACTAAATTTCATCTTCATCAATAATTGTAATGACTATATCGGAGAAAATCAACTACTTGAAATCAAATAATTCATACTGATAAATGTCATGACAAAAGATGATATAATTACATAGAATGTAAAAAAGATTGTAGTCAACTGCAGGCATTCATGCCTACATCAAATGCAGATATGATAGCAGAATATAATCAGAACTGCTTCATAGAATTCGGCTGCAGGAGAAAAACTATGTGGAACCTGTAAGATGGAAGAAAGTTTTAACGAAAAAGCTAGCCATATTCTATTTCTAGCACTATAATATCCTCACAGTCATACAATCTTAAAGAAATGCGGATTTTCAAGAAATTTGAAACTCACTTCATACGCAAAATTAGCATAATTAATTCCCAGAAGCCAGGTAAAGAAAAGTTATCGTGCTTGGTGCAGAGAGAGCCTTTGGTAGCTGCACACAGAAAAGACAGAAGTCTCAAACACTCGGAAAATTTCAATTTACTCCTGAATTTGGTACCCAGGCTATGAAATATCTAGTTTTTCCAGGTGTGCTTTTAAAAGACATTATGAAAACTTTTGATTCAGTGAATTGGAGATTTCTAATGGGGGTGTTGCATGCTATGAAGTTCCCTGAGAAGTTTGCGCCATGGATTCAATGCTGCATCACTGGTCCTATGTTTTCGGTTGATATAAATGGAGGTTTAGAAGGGTATTATTCTTGCAAGAGATGTCTCAGGCAAGGAGATCCTTTCTCACCTTATCTCTTTGTGATTGTCATGGAAATGTTGTCACAAACGCTTAATAAGGAAGCTATTTAAGGGCCCCTTCCATGCCACCCAAAATGTGATAAGATCCACCTCACCCACCTATGCTTTGCTGATGATCTTATGGTGTTCACTGAGGCGAGCTTGCAAGCTGTTCAAGCTTTGAAGAATGTTCTGAATCAATTCTATAAGCTGTCAGGGTTGAAGTTTAATCCAACAAAATGTGAGATGTTCTGTTCTGGCATAAATGAAGATATTCAAACTCAGATGGTGGCTGCTTCAGGATTCAAACTTGGTTCCTTGCCAGTAAAAAATATTGGGGTGCCCTTTATCAGACTCAGTGAGAAGGAGGGTAAGCCTCTAGTTGATAGAATTCTGAAACGAATAGAGAGCTGGATGGTCAAGCATATATCTTTTGCTGGCAGATTACAGCTTCTCAATTTAGTCCTCTTTAGCATCCAAAATTATTGGTGTTAGGAAAAACAGACATGCAGTTATAAATGCCAGAAGTCGTATGTTGGCAGAAAGATACCAGGTAAGTACCCCCTTCAAAGCTATAAGCAAGGTAAGTAATATTTTTTTGTTAATCTTAGGCTGCAAATTGCATCTGACTAACAAATCACATTTTTTGCAGCAATAAACATGATATTTGGGCTCACATTCCAAGATGAGAAAATTAAACATGATGCAATAAATGCATGACAGCAAGATCTGTCAGTGTATGTATCAGTCACAGGAGAAAATTTTCTTCCAAATAGGTAAGGCAGTAGCTTCAAGAAAACATACATGTTATTTTTCCTTAAATTATAAAATGGATAACTATTGTGCTCAACAAAGGCTCATCCACTCAACAAGTTTTCATCTGCTGACCGCAAGCAGAGCATACCCCTCTTCCAACAATATCTAAAGACAAGTATGAAAAAAGATTTAAAGTTATGATTCTAGGTAATTTTCAACTCCCACGTGGAATGACATAATTAAGCAAATCTTTGAACTGAAAACAAACATAAAATTTTCAATGACAACTAGAAAGTTTAAATTCATCGGACTGTTGAAACTGAAGGGGATTCAAAAGTCTTCTGCAACAAAAGGAAAGAAGAAAACAATAATAAGCTTCTTTAGAGACATGCACACAAGTGCAGAAGCACATGTACAACCAGATTCCGGACACATGGAGATATTTTGGCTTCTAGGATCTGACAAGATCCCAATTGAGGTGGAGGCATTGAGGTGATGCAGGCATGTCTTGGCTAACTAGTTTATCCAATGACATTTTAAGGACTTCAAGGTAACTAATGGATAGAAGAGAAGTCATCTGCTACGTATTAACAAGAACTAAGTTTCTATATTATACCAGAGAAACCATGTAGTCCTCAGGCTTATAGGTCATACCATAAATCATTAAGATAGTAATTGTTCACAAAGCATTATATTGCAGATTAACATAAAAAACAACTCGGTTTGCATGAAGAGAAACCCATTATTAAAACTGCATATCTGTTATTGGAAAAAAATTATTAAAAAAAAGAAATTAGAGAAAGGACAAGCAAATCAGAAAAGTGCAACCAATTAGTTTATACTCTGACTCACCCCTCAGATGAAAGCCAAAGGCACAAGGTAAAATCTAATTTTAACAATTAAGGATCCTAAGCACAAGAACATTAAATCAAACAGGCTATATACTAACACAACAAAAAACCATCAAACCTACAAGTTTAACAAATCACCTATATCTATCAAAATTTAGCACCACTCAGCATGCGCTTCACTTCAATTAGAAGAATAGTAGTTCCCATGAACCACAGTGCAAGACCAATATATGTTTCAATGCCATAAATGAAGAACCATTGAACCCAAAAGTTTAAACTGATATGCCAGGACCAAACAAGTGTTATTTGGCTTTGATGCTCCAAAAAGACCACATTCTCCTCTTCTCTCCTTTCCAAATAAGCAGTTACATCATATGTCACATAGCAACCATCAAAACCTATTTAAAAATAAATATGAAGAACAAAAGTTATGGAATAACTCCAATAGTAATCAATAGTGCGACGGGAGTATGAAAAGTAAACCCTAGAATGATGTGACAAATGGCAACTAAAGCAAGGTAAATGTACAATGACTTCACATATTTATTTTTCAACTGTAAGAGTCATAAGATATTTAACTTTAATTTAATGAATATCCAATGAAAATAACTAAAAACTAAATCTACCATACATCCAAATTTTCAAAGGACATAATCTTCTTAATTCACATGGTCTTTTACAAGGTTTAGCTTTGGACTTCCACAAAAGGTTTGCCCTTTATGACTGACTATACCTCTAAGTTAGTTTTTAGCTCCACCTATCAACTCAAAAATCTCTAAATATCTGTGTCATATACAAATAACTAAAGCTACAACCAAAGATTCCAAGTCTCAATCTCACACAAGCAATAAAAGAACATGTAAAGCTTGACTTGAGACGACTTGAGACAAACCTAAGTTAGTTGTCATGCCACCAGCATTACAACTGCCCCTTTAGCCAGATAGTGGCCCAAAACTATTGGGTTTCATTGGCCCACTCAGATGAGCACACACAAACATTGAAGAAATAAGTAAGCTACTACATGTTTTCAACTTTCTATTTAAAAACTTTCATATCCTTAAATTCTAGTGAAAAGCATGTGACTTCTGCTTGCTTGAAAATCAGTAAAAGAGATATACATGTTATCACCGATTAGGACTGTAACGTTACTAAATACTGACTGTAAATAATCTTTTCAAGGCCCATGTAAGGTACAGATGGAGAGGTTCATCTGAAATTTTCAGCATGGTTTTTCTTTTTGATCTATTAACCTACAATCCTTGAAGTACCTTAATTCAATAACTCTCTTTGGTATCTTCATTGATTTTTGTTGAAGCTGCTTCTTGATATTAACCAAATTTCAGTCCAAAGACATAGCACAGCTATAATTTTCAATAAAATCAGACAACAATGCATTTAACATTTCCAAGTACAACAAGATGCATTTATTTGCAAAATGAGTTTATAGGATCCATAATTAATTAAAATTTTGAGACAAAGAATCTAATCCATTAGAACCTAATTTGATGCCAAAGATTTAAAAAAATTAAATTATAATAGAATTTGATCCAGTTTCTTTCAAGTGGTAAGGAATAGGCAAACAATGGTAAAAATCAGAGTGACAATTCTAGAAGTTCAATTTTAGTTAACAATAAAGTTACTTTTGAAACAGAAACACAGAGCATGACTGAAAGAAAATAAGCAGGATGAATAAAATTAAAGTCATAAACTATCCATTAACTATCATTCAACTTCAGGAAACTTTAGATTCATAACAAAACCATAAAAATATGAAATATTAACCCTTGAATAACCCATGTAATGTTGCTCCAACTCTTTACTTTCCTAGCACACCTGTACTGGAAACCTCAAAGAAATAGTACAAGGGAAAAATTAAGAAGATTGAATGTATTTGTGTTGGACACATACCTTATCTGACACTCGCACCCCAAGTGCAATCAATGTAGACATAGTTGTCAACAGATATGCCAATAAAGAACAGAGAAAATTTTATTGACAGCCAAACTTGGTCTAATGCTTCCATCAAGGTAAGGAATTTACTAAGTGCTACTCTTACTGCTAGTAATACTTCACCTAAGAACCCAAAAGGATTATTGGAGAAAAATAATGACCAGTTACTGAATTCAAATATCGCAACAACAACAAAATTACAAGAAATTACTACTGATTGCATAACTTAAACGTTAACTGATCAAACTATTTTAATGTTCCCCTAAAATGTTGACATACCAAAAAAAAAAAAAAATCAATGAATACAAATCTACCCCCAATCCCCTGGAATGCAATACCACTATGATAATAATTCCATAACTCACCAACAACGGCTATTTCTTATAAAGAAATTAAAAAAAGGAGAAAAATGACCGCATAAATTTTTCTTGGAAATAGAATTTAATAAGTAGCAATGACAATGATAATACCCTCCTTTTGTAACTTTAAAGATTGTACAACTATTCAGAACAATTCAGGGAAAAGGCTTTATAAAGCAATATTTGCACATTAACATAGGTTAGAAATTCAATTAAGTATTAAAAAGATTGAAAATGCAAAAACATCAATATAGAAACTCAATTAAAATTAGTTTCCAATCCAATATCACAAACAAACGACAACCTAAATCCATTCAGCAACCTCATAGCACAAAGAGACAATTCATAGTGCAGCAATTTTTATTTTACCTCCATTAAGCTTATGCAAAAGCACATCAACAAAGAATGACATTATGGTCTAACAGGATGAATCCAGATAGCAGGTCTTATAAACAGCAATTTGGCTTCTTACTTGTTTTCTTCATGTCAATATTGAAAACAATAACTGTATCCTTACATCTTTTTTTCCTTTTCATAATCCAAAAGTATTCTCACAGGAATTCCAACTCATATAAAATCAATATTACCCCTTGACAATTTAACCATACAATTACAGCAGTCGGAACTCAAAGAATCTCACTTCTGATCAGTCATTGATCGTATTTTTCATAACTCACACACATAAAACCATGTGTTTTTCATAAGCAAAGCCCTAATTCACAGCGAGATTCTAACACGGTCAAAAATACCAATACATTTATCTCCATCAAAAAGTACTAGCAATATCAAAATCAAGAAAACAAAAACTCTTTTTAGTTTCTTCCATACAATTTCAGGGCAGAAAAAAACCCATAGAATGTAGTTAGTAATGGCAATTAGTACTCTTTCCAATATAAAGATTAAATAAAAAAAATAGAAAAGTTACCAAACAAAAATTAGACGTAATAATGAATAAATTCATTGATTCAACGTTATAAAGCGGAGAAAATATGTCAAAATCACAACATTAACAAACAAGAAATCAAACAATCTATACGATCAAACTATACTGGAATTTGTCAAAAACAAAAAAGTAAAAGATATGATGACAAGAGCTTGTACTTACAGATAACTAAATGCGGAGAAACTTAAAAGCATATAAGCAATTTCTGGAAGAAGCTTGTTGAAGGCATTAATCTTAAAAACATAAGAAAGTGTATATCAAGAAACGGAATAACAAAAGAAAAAGAAGAAAACGTGAGAAAAAAAAAAAAAAAAGAATGGTTGGGAATGAATACGCTCTTCACACCACCAT